CTCTACCGACCTGATTGGTCTTTCCCACTTTGGTTAATGTTAAAATGGCTGTCTCAAGTTGGAACTCAGAACCGGGCTGATTGGGGGTCGCTTGGGCATAGTCAAACTTTTCAACTTTTGGATCAAAAGGAGCACTTACTAGATTTCCGGGCTCAGGTAGGCAGTCGTAGCCAAGACATTTGACATTGGTTGTTAACATGAATATTGACTTTTCAAGGCAAGGAGGCATTTAGTTTAGCATATACTCTTGCTTTGTTGCCTTACCTTAAAGGCCAAAGTCGAAGGGCTTTATAAAATTACACAATAACAGCCTTAACGAAAATAAAACAAATGACCATAAATATGGAAGATATTCAACCTTATAGTGCTTAAGGTAAGAAAGGTAGCTGAACTTTTCCACAATTATATGAGTAGAAGATATGAAGACCAAGATAGTGTGGCTTTTGGTATGGTCACAGTCTAGTTTGCATGTATATTTTGATGAGCTTATTTCCATTTCGAGTGAAAGTATTGGGTGAAGAGATTTGAAGGTCGGCTCCACCAGGAGGCGAAGGCGGATTCCTCTTGACCAGCTGTCGATTGGTTTTACTGGAACATTCATGGTGACGCTGTTTCCGAGGTAATCTACTTTGATTCCGGTGAAAAAATGCTAAGCTTTCGTCCGTCATATGACGAACATAATCAGAGCAAAGTATCATCGTCACAACAAAATTCAACCTAACGAGTCAACCTAAAAAGCGGTATATCAACTCTTTATCTGGTCTCTTTGATCAGGTATAATGTGATTTGGTTAGTTATGATCATATATCAACCTCGAAGACTTTGAGTGTGTCTGTCTCTGTATGCGTATGTGCTTATTTGTGTTCGCTTATGCACGAAACCCGCAGTGATTGCTCAAAATGATGAGGACAGCAAAAGTAACGTTTGTTTTCGGCCATCAAGTTTTGATGACCACTATCTCCCTTTTTATACATACATGCTGTAACCATAACTCCGATTGCGTAAGGTTGAACGCACGTCTGGTTTTGTTGATGAGCCTATTTTTTGTTTTTGGTCTTAATGCAAAAGAGAAAAAATGAGCCAAAAGTACAGAAAAGTGACTATAATTAGAACCAAGACAAGAAAAGACTATGAGATGATTCACGCTATTTCGTTTAAGGTAATGAAGGTCTGGTAGTTG